AATAAAAATTAAAATTAAGTAATATCCCGTGTCGCAGATATAATTAAAACTGTTTTTACGATTTCATCCATGCATTTTTTTTTTTTTTTTTTTTTTTTTTTTCCGACGCTTCGAATAGCTTACAGTTTTTGTGACTACGGACGAGTCAGTCGTATGTGAGGGGGTAAAAATAGCTTTAATCGTATTTATTAAATTAAATTTTCTAACTTATTCATCTTCAAATACTTATGCACTCATCACGAGATTATAAAAACTATTTATCCAATAGACTTTTACACTTTGCACAGAAACGCTCTTTATGGTGTAGACGCTCAAATAGAAACTGATTTTACGTAAATTCTATCCAAAATGAATTTTCCATCTACCATACCATTGCAGCAATACTAACGCATAACAAAAGTTGTCGTACTAAATGCTACAGGATTGGTAGTTTATGGAACAAAGAGTGACACAAACTACTCTTTATCATAGAAAATTCAAAATTTTACTGGCGATAAGGCGTCTTGTGGGCACGGATAGATACCACACTGCCTATTTCTGCCGTAAAGCAATAATAGCTTCCAATTTGGACGGTGAGTTAACCGTTGTACTATAAAATTAAGACTTAGAACTCATGTCTCAAGGTGGGTGGCGGCAATTACGTTGTTCATGTCCAGGGGCTCCGATAACTACTGAACATTAGGTAAGCTATGTTTTTATCCACACTATGTAAGTAAGGAAAAAAACGCGTTCCATTATACGTGAATTATAAATTTAACGTAGGGCGAAACCGCGTGGCAAGTCTTATATGTATAAATATTATAAAGGTTTAGTTATACCTTGACATTATAAGCTTGAGTCCGCGTGTCCTCTAGGTGCGGACACCTCGTAGAAAGTTAGGCATCTGCCGGAAAAAAAATCTTAATATTAAAACCCTTCGAATAAAAAGGCTTATAAAACCGAAGACACCGGGAGTTTTTCGCGAAAACAAGTCTAACCGAAAAATAAGCTTTTCATTAAAATATCGAGACCTTTTCTATCTTCGTATGAATTTCTAATTAACAATGAAATTCGGCGCACGTACCTCGTCCGCGGTAGCTTAGGGCAGGTAAGATGTAGGTCAGACGGTCGGGCAGCCGGCTCATTCAGCATTAATGCTTATTGTGCCGTCTACGCTCAGCTAGAGCGTGCATAATGCCCGTGCACATATGTAGCACTACTCGCTTACAATAAAAATTCATCGCGCGATACAGACGTGATTTTTGTAAGGTAAACAAAAGATGTAGCAATAGTTGATCTATATGTTATGACAATTTTATAGAGGTTCTACAGTGAATATTTAGAAGTCGTCGTGGCCTAAAGAATACGACGTCCGGTACTCTTACAACGAACGAGCTTACTGGTGGTAGGAACTCGTGTGAGTCCGCACGGGTAGGTACCACCACCCTGTCTATTTCTGCCGTGAAGCAGTAATGAGTTTCGGTTTGAAGGGTGGGGGGCAGCCGTTGTAACTATACTTGAGACCTTAGAACCTTAGAACTTACATCTCAAGGTGGGTGGTGCATTTACTTTGTCAGTAGGTGGGCTGTGAGCTCGTCCACACACCTAAGAAAGAAAAAAGAAAAAAAAGAAGCGAACTGAGATTACTAGTTAGGACAGAACCGTTTTTTTGGCATTTGAAGTCTGTATTCTCACAATTTCCACAATTTAAGCCAGGGGATACAATAAAAACAGCAATGACATATAACAGCATGTGAACTTCAAATGTACTCTATCAGATTATCATCTAAGATGTTAACAATTAGCATTATAAATGCGAATATTGCTGTGAACAGAGCCGCAAACATTGGACAATAGCGATATGACAGCAGAAGATGGAATGAAATGGTATAAAGTCAAACTTAGGTGAGCAGCGGCTTGGCTCTGTCCCTGGCATTGTTGAAGTCCGTGGGCGACGGTAACCACTCACCATTAGGTGGGCCATATGCTCGTCTGCCTACAAGGGCAATAAAAAATAATAATAAAAACTCATACTAAATTAGACTTTGTTGGTTTTCTATTCCCCAACATTCTGTTTAGTAACTATCCCTTAGATCTTTTGATATTTTTTTAAATCCTAAGATGGATGGCCGAGCTCACATTCTACCTGGTTTTAAGTGATCACCAAAGCCGTGAACATCGACAACGTAAATGCCGCCACCCACCTTGAGACATGAGTTCTAAGTCTCACTTAATACCAAGGCGATAACTTAACACCAAGTGGAAGGAAAACGCTTTTGTTCATCTAATGAAAAACGAATTGTAGATTCAAAGCATAGTTTGGATTTTAGAGAGGCCGTTAAAGATACCACGTCCGTCCTTAATACGGTTCCAACCTTAACCTTATTCGTGAACATTTAAAATGTACGACATGAGCGGTAAAATGTTTATTGAGTGATTTATTCTAAAATGCTTACTGGTGGTAGAAACTCTTGTGGTCCGCATGGGTAGGTACCACCACCCCGCCTATTTCTGCCGTGAAGCAGTATTGCAGCAGGTTTGAAGGGTGGGGTAGCCGTTGTAACTATACTGAGACCTAAGAACTTATATCTTAAGGAGGGTGGCGCATTTACGTTATAGATGTCTATGGGCTCTAGTAGACCACTGAACACTAGGTGGGCTGTGAGCTCGTCTACCCATCTAAGCAATAAAAAAAAACAAGAAAAAACCATTATATCGTTCGAAGAACTCTAACTAAAAATTACAAAAACTGAATTTTTCATTCTTTGTTATATAAAAAAGTCGTGATTCAATAAATGTGATACGCTCAACGCACCCCCTAAATCCCACATGAATGGACCACACCGGCATGCCGTCGTACTATCAATAATTCAGGACACCAGCCGGCTCCGGCACAAAGTTATTATTATTAATATAAAAAAACACCTACCACGGGTACATGTTTCGATTAAAATGAAAAACAAAAATAGAGCATCATTTTCGAGATGTCAATATTCTTTTGACGCTTAAAGTTTTATTCATTCCATCCCAATCGATAATTTTTCGATAATCTTTTTAATGAACGAACATCATCATAGCTTCGTATTCTTCGTGTTACCACCACGAACCAATCGTACAATGAAATACCTGTCACAGCTATTATTATTTTTAAATTTATAATTTTAACAACATTACTTTCGTAATATTTATTCCATATTACATTTGTTGGGTATTCTGCTTCTATTAAGTAAATACGTTAAGGGCGATTTAAAATGCGAAGACTTATTATGAGTATTTCCGACAGTAAAGATACGAAGTAAAGCCCTGCTGGTCGCTTCAAGAATGATCTTATTAAAACTGTCGAAGCGAGTTCGAGTTTTAATAGTAGAATACACAATTACAACAACAAAGACATGTGCTTCGTTATCTCTCCAGGTGGGAACATTCAATCTGGCTTAATAATAAATTTTCCAGGCTATTTGGTTTATGGAAACTTTCAAAGGCTTCAATGCGAGGAAAAATTTGGTAATGTAATTTCGGCTCGGTTTTGTTACATTCTTCTTTGCTCATAACACTTGTTTATAGGCCGGTGAAGGAATGTTTGGATTCGGTCCATGTTTGATCTAATAAATGATTCAATGCAACAAAAGTTTTTCTTTGTTTTAGCTGATTAAATTCAGTAAGCAAGGCCCTTCCAAATTCAGCATAAAATCTTAAACATTCTATGAAAAGGTTAAAAAGTGTGCAAAAAATTCTACGAATATTGAAGTCAGCCAATTAATAGAGAAAGGCCAAAATGAGTGGAAAAATCATTAAAAAACTATAAATATTGAACAAACGCGAACAGAACTGAAACAGACCCCAGATAAATTAACAAAAGTTTTTTTTTATTTAATGTGTAAATAGATTATCTTAAATAAAATAAGGGCATAATATTCACCGTTCTCATATACAAATCATACACATTTTGAAGAAAACAAAATCGTATATTTTGGTAACCCTAAAGATCAGTATAAATGGGTTGGTCATAAACTTTAATCTCCGGCTAACCAAAATAAAGGGTATATTTAGCTAGCTTGATCCGCTATGGGATGTCATATGGTAAAGTAAGGGATATCCTTACCCTGTAAGTGTTTTTGAACACTAATGCCTGAAAAATACTTATTAAGTGCTTTTCAGCTTTAAGTATGATATGCCCGATAGTAGAAGTATGAACGCAGGATATAACCCAAATGGTCATTCATATGCGGGGCTCTCTTCTAATCCGTGTTCCGAATCACACATATTCTAAGTCCATTCATCTAAATACCAGTTTGTGTCATTACTAGGTTTCGTAAAACATGTTCGTCTTTTTCTTCCAAATGCTCAAAGAGACATTCCAACGTTAAAAATTATTTCTTTTTTTTTAAATTCAAGTTTAAGAACCCGCATAATAATGCGTAACGTTCGTGTGTGACCCTTTGGTCTTGTTTGATTGCGACATCTGCCAATCACAATTAAAGACAACTTTGGTTTGATTATTAAATGTACTACAGGATTTGATTCCTTGATCCTCAAAGTCACTTGTGAACGCCTGTTTTGTATAAATTTCATTCATCTCATTTTCAAGAAAAAATAGTAGCTGCTTGCGGAATTCGAACACTGGCTCAATTGCATCGTTCTTTTTTTTTTTATTGCTTATATGGGTGGACGAGCTCACAGCCCACCTGGTTGCTAAGTGGTTACTGGAGCCCATAGACATCTATAACGTAAATGAACCACCCACCTTGAGATATAAGTTCTAAGGTCTCGCAGTATAGTTACAACGGCTGCCCCACCCTTCAAACCGAAACGCATTACTGCTTCACGGCAGAAATAGGCAGGATGGTGGTACCTACCCGTGTGGACTCACATGAGGTCCTACCACCAGTAACCTCGTTGTAAGTGTACCGGACGTCGTATTCTTTAGGCCACGATGACTTCTATTCACTGTAGAACCTCTATAAAATTGTCATAACATATAAATCGAAAAACAATTGCTACAAGTATTATGTTTGCTTCAGTAAACGGCCAAACAAGATAATGCAGTCAAAATGGAGATGAAAAAAACAGAAAAAGCCGGCAGCTTATCGCCAGTTAAGCCGGCACTAAAGAAGGAAGACGACGGTAAAAATTCCAGGTCGAGCAGCAGATCAGAAAAGGAATTGAAACTACCTCCTGAGAAATCGCCTAGTGATGATGCACCAAGAAGAGAGAGACGCTTGTCTAGAGCGAGCGAGAGTTCCAAAGAAACATTAGAAAGGTTAGTAAATAGTTTTTTTAGTAGTTAGTTAAATGAAAATTAACTTATTTTAGCCGGTGCCACAATGATGTGAACTTAAATTAGTATATATATATTTCTGTAACTATCAATGATGACTCCATCAAAACTAGTTCATATAAAATTAAAAAATAATATGTATCACAAAAATTGCAGAGATCACAACTACTATGTTATCATAATCATAATAGGTTGGGGATAGTCTTTTCGCATTATAATATGTATGAACTTGTAATAAAATCGCTTTGGCTATTTGTATCTGGCTGGTTTTGGTATCATTAAAAGCTTAAATTTTAAAGAAGATAATTCCAAATTAAAATTTGGTAAATGTGTAATTTTTATTTATTTTTGAGTGACTTTCTCGCTGAGTTTCTCGCCGGATCTTTTCAGTGGGTCGCGTTTCCGATTCGGCGGTAGATTCTGCGAAGCACGGCTCTTGCTAGGGTTCATGTTAGCAACGTCGTCAGGTTTGAGCCACGTGAGCTCACCTACTAGTTAAGGTTACGCTGAAATAGTCTCTCAAGGCTATCAGTTTAGGTAGGAATAAAAACAAACAAACACAGGACCATCTGCCGGGCTGATTTGTAAATCTAAACTATTCTCGAATCCACCTGAAGGTACACAGAAATTTTCATTAAAATCGGTCCAGCCGTTTAGAAGGAGTTGAGTGACAAACACACGCACAGAAGAAATATATATATAAAGATATAATCTACGTTTAAAATAACAAAACAATGCTAAACATAATGGGAAACGAATAATGTTAACTCAATTTCAAACAGCAAGGTTGCCGAGTTAAACCATTTTTGTAAACGTTCATTCATAATTACGAACGCATTAAAGAGAAGTTTTGTTTCGCAGGTCCCGCTTTCCGAAGTTTAGGATTTATTTTATTTCGAATAACATGACAAAAGCAGACGTAGAACAATGCGGCCCATGCGGCCCAACTTAGATGGGCTCTAGATAATTATGCTGTAACCTCTCGTCAAATATTTCACATAGTTAGGACAAGGGTTTTGTACAAAACAACAATGAATTAGTTCGGGCTGTTTCTATCTAGTAATTTTAATAATCATTTTGTTTGATTTTTGCATCGATAAAAGAGCGAGTTAACTTTGTGTAAAGTGGCTCTTGAGTTATTTGTAAGATTTTTAAGATTGACATCTTTTAAGATGAGCTATCGTACCTGCCACATAAATAGATTGATAGTACATAAATACATTGTTACTACAACAATATATATGGAATTATCTTCTTTGTAATTTAAACTTTTAATGATACGAAAACCAGCCAGATACAAATAGTATTATAGCCAAAGAGATTTTATTACAAGTTCATACATACTATAATGCAAAAAGACTTTTTCCCCAACTTATTGGGTATTCGAACTCGGTAAATTTTAATTTTCCAAATACGTAGTGGAGCGTACGAAAAAGCAATTAAAAAGTTTTATTATTGTACTGTAACAGACAAGCGTGAAAATAAAATAAAAAATATCGCTTCTACCAGACCTGGCTATGTTATGATTATTTTGTACTGAAATCTTAAACCCAGGCAAACGACTTTAATATTAAATAGGCAGGTAATATAACCCCCTTTCAAGTAAGCTTTGATTTTGATATTAGTTAAACAAGTTCAAAGAGCGTCTACACAATATTGTAACAGAGTAAGCCTAGCTTAACACAACATTGTACATATAATAAGTAATAAAACATTTTACTCACTTTTATATTGTTTATACTCAGTCTTTTGTTTTGGCAATTTCATTGGCAACTGCAGTTTATACCTTTCTTGCTTTTTCTTAGTTTTTTAAGCTCACCTTAGTTTTGTTTTAATTTTTATTGATCACTATGTTAGATTTGATACATAATTTTTTGCTATGCTCGATGTATATATACTTTATAGTTAATTTATGGAAGCATAGCTATATATTTATTTACCAATGCTTTTTTTTCTGTGGTTGACAGAGTAACGCATAACAAAATCCCATTATTCATTAGTCTTTTAAAAATAAATTGCATTGTGTATATCATTTGTTGCGGAAAACTTGAATAAATAAACAAAATATATACAAATAAACAGCAGGTGATTTTTCCTCTCATAACCACATTAACTCATTTCAACAGATTAATTACATACTAATAATGCTGAAGATAAACATGATTAACCAAATATCAGTGTACACAAATAAAATACATATATTATAATATTATTTTTATGCTATTGAAGAAGAATACATTCAGTAAAATATTGGGGACGATAAAACTCTATTATTACGCACACACTAATTATTTTACTACTAGGGAATGCCATTTTTTTAAATGTACAGCTATCGCGAAATTTCAATATAGGGAATTGAAAACTCAATCATTTTTCGTGGCAACAAAAACAAGAGCCCGTTCGAGGCACTCGCGAAACCAATGGGCTATCAATATTCGTATTGCGACTGAAACTAGCACACGAATACAATGAATATTTGTTTTTATTTAAATACTTGAAAACATGATTCATGCGTGGAACTAACTGATTGATCATGGGAATGGATTATTTGGATCCGTAAGGAACTAACTATTCGAAAAAAAGGTGTGAGAGAATTTTGGGATTTTGTATTAACTTCTTTCATAGGTATAACGGTGAAATGATTGAACTATTTCATTATTACAGTGAATACTATTGTTATCATTAATATCTAGGATTATGAAAGTAGTTTATGAATTTATTTCTTTCTTTTTTTGTTCCTAAAAATACTATATAATTAAAACAACTTTATGGTTTAATTGATTTTTAATTGTCATTACATTATTTGCGAGGTTCCAAATACTTTACAGTTTTCGTTGTAACGGACGACTAAGTTGTTATTCGTCCTAGTTTGGTCTACAACACGTGGGAACCAAAACAGGTTAAAGATAATTTCCTAACAGTTTCCCCTTTTGTTACACAGACAAGATTCAAAATCGGGTTCTCTTACGAGTCCGAAGGTCTCCCGCAAGTACTTCACAAACTGGCGTCAGGCATGCGACAAGACAAAAGACAAGACCAAGGAACTCTTGAAGCGTTGGCGGACGCTGCCTGAAGCTGAGGGAATATCTCCCGAAGAACACATGCAGCCAGCTACTAAAAGCGAAGTAGATAACCGCAGAGGCTGGAGTGTGCACGTTTGGAGTAAGTTCTTAGCTTTATATGTATTAGCCACGCTTGACTTTGGGTAAGCCGATTTGCGCTGGGATCTTATCCATTAACTAAATATTTGAAGTAACATTTTCGGCTAATGTATCTATTTTTGACGAATAAGTACAGTGTTATAACAAAACAGATTTCTCTCCTATTTTAACATAAGTTTTTATACGCCAAATGAGAATTCTTGTTTGTATCTTAATAGTTTTGAAGTATGTATGTTGTTATGTATGTTCTTAGAGCTTGTGCACTGTGGAATAGTGGAAAATATTTTAAAACTTAATAACATAGTGCTTAAAGATCCCAAGAACCCTAAGAGATCGAAAAATACATGTCAACACAGATATTAAATAAATTTAAAAAACAGGCGCCCCATTTCTATCCTCTAATAGAACAAAATCCTGTTTTTTTTTTGAATTCAACACATAAAATGCGCAACATTTATTTATACGAGTATACTATTCTGGTAATTCACAAACTTTATCTTAAGTATTAGGAATGATAATTCCGAAATACTTAAGTACTTTTCACAACTAAGAACATAAGTTAAAATTTATTGTTGTTCGGTGTTGTCGCGGCCGAGTCTCGGTTTTGCCAAAGTCGTGTCGGGCTGCGGCGGGCGACTAGCGCAAGTGAACCATCCTGCTGAACCAGAGAGAGAGAGCTGTTCCGCTTTGAGCACGAAACCGTCGCTGTCAACTCGAGTTCCAAAATAAGAATCACGCCCGAATCTTATAGACGAATGCCGACCAATTTCCTGTTGACCTTAAAAATAAGATACATGACATGCAAAATACATTGCTAAAATGTATTATATTTTTTGTAGATGATTTGTCATGTATACCTACCTACCTACCCTCAGAAATCACTGGCACTTCTATACACGTCTTTGCTGTGGACAACATCTCGAAATAGCTAATAATTAATGCAGCTATTATTTCATAACTTCATTTACCNGACCAATTTCCTGTTGACCTTAAAAATAAGATACATGACATGCAAAATACATTGCTAAAATGTATTATATTTTTTGTAGATGATTTGTCATGTATACCTACCTACCTACCCTCAGAAATCACTGGCACTTCTATACACGTCTTTGCTGTGGACAACATCTCGAAATAGCTAATAATTAATGCAGCTATTATTTCATAACTTCATTTACCTACACTTTACAATACACATTAAATACTTTATATCTCAGGGTGGTAATTTATATTGTTATATCTATCGATTCTGTTGGCTACATCAGGCTGATCAAAATCGGTCAAAGTGCTCAGTCTACAGAATGACGATATTCCTAATAAACACGATAGCAATAAGTATCAAATTTTGTAAATTTATACTTCACTTACCATTCACTCAAACACACGTTATATAAAACAGTTCAAAATGAACTGACCTACAGTCTCAAATGACAGCAAGCCTCGCGTTACTTTGACGATTCACGAGAATTTACAAAAACTGCATGTTTTTATGCAAATAGTATTTAAAGCCTAGTATTCAAAATTTGACCATAATCATTAATCACCCACTACTCAAATATAGCTCCATTATGAGTATTATTATTATAATTATTTTCTCTACCATTTTATAAAGACGGGAAAAGAAGCTGTTTCTAAATTCTTTCTTTTGTGTTCTCTTGTGTTCTATAAACAGTAACTGTGTCGTTCAATAAACGAAGGAATAAAAAGTATTCAACTATTAAGTCTTTACTTATTTATATTTATATATTAAATTAAATACTTATGTTGGTCATTTAGCTTGGAGACTAGTACAACTATACTACACATTGATTCAGCTAATGGGATATGAAATACAACAATTACAACTTAATAACAATATTCTGAAGTCATATTTCTTAACCTGACTATATAGCTGCTTGTTTAATGCGTATTATCACGGCCGTGAGCAGCGTATATTGTGGTAAAGTATACCAAAGTTTTCAAAGTTCTCAATTAATTTCTCTTGTTCATTAAATACACAATCTACTTTTCCTATAAAATACACCGCTACTCCAAAACGTCCACCCTTCAATTCGGAATTAATTTGCATGCATTAAGCTGATTAAAATCATACTTTTGACATCAACCTCCTACGTAATTTATTTAAGTATGAATATCGAAAATCAGAAACAAGAAACCTTGACTTTGTTTAATGTTATTTCCTACGAGATTATTACAAGGGAATATTCAAAGTTCAAAGGTAACGTGCCAAAGGAAAGAACACGAAAAACACGTGACAAACAAGGCTTGTGGAGAATACTTTGCGGTAGGAAGCGGCTTGGCTCTGCCCCTGGCATTGCTAAAGTCCATGGGCGACGGTAACCACTTAACATCAGATGGGCCGTATGCTCGTCTGCCTACACGGGCAATAAAAAAAACAATTTCAATGCTGTGCAAATACAAATACTTGTAAGGATAGTATTTTCTTCAGTTTTCGCAAATCACTGACGTAATTGAACTTCATTATACTTTTACCGTTTAATCTCTCGTTTTTAAACGATTGCATAGCTTCTATCGCGGGCCTTGAGCGCGGCGACTGAATTAAGAAATTCCGTAACGAAAATAACATGTGGGGGTGACTACGCCTACTATGTAGCTCGCGTTCAACACATTCACACGTTGTGCTGGTGTAGTGTTTGTGAATAAGCGCGCGGCGTGACGTCGCACTGCATGAGCATCATGAAAAGTCTGCCCATCTCTCAGTCAGTTAATGTTTTGCTTTTGTTAATGTTTAAAAATATAGCGTGGTCTTATTTTTATTATTGTTTTAATATTAAATTATTATTGTCGAATTGTAATTGCATAAGTTGATAAAAAATGTTCTGCAATAGCTTTACCGCGGCAGTCCCCGAGTGCCACACCTGTTTTTTTTATTTTTTATTATTTCGTTTCCGACATTTCAAATACATTACGATGACGCGTTACCACGAAAACTGTATTCAAAATGGCTGAAGTAATATAAGTAATTACTATAAAAAAATTAGGTTAAGCCGTAAAAATATTTTTAATTTTATTGTCCTTTGAATAACATGCAGTAATTATATTCTGGCCGACCCGTGTAATGATTGGTTTATAAATAGCACGAGATTATATAAAATAACGACATCATTTCCAACGGAAAACGAGCCGGATTTTTTTGTGAAATTGCCAAGTTTCAGCATTTTCGTAATGCGCTGAATGGAAAAGCTCGCTGCGCTGTGTGATAGGCTTTCGGTGTTTTTGATTCTCAAAAATAATGTAAAGACGAGATTGGACCTCTCCAAAACTTCCACTTAAACTGCTATTTTATAAAATCTCGTTTGTAGCAATCGTTTGGCTTATCAAATGCTTTTTCAATTTAAAGATTTATTTTTTACTAGCTGACCCGGTAGACTTCGTAGTGCCTCAATCGATAAATAAAAGACCTAAACTTTTGTATAAAATAAACCTAAAACAAACAAAAAGAATCCGTCCAACGGAGGACACATCAAAGGAAAAAGAAAATAATCATTTTTATTTAACTCCGAGCATTTTCATTCATTTATCAACCTTTTAAGCCTTCTCTGGACTTCCTCCAGATAATTCCTCCAAATAATTCAAGACCAAAATTAGCCAAATCGGTCCAGCCGTTCTCGAGTTTTAGCGAAACTAACGAACAGCAATTCATTTATATATATATATAGATTTGGAATATAAATTGTTATGCAGTTTAATTATTCTCTAAACAATAATGCAAAAGTGAATGACTCAATTTCGTACAAAAAAGAACATTTGCATTCCATTACTGCGAATACACGACCTACTTGTTTTTAAGTGCTTCCCAAAGCCCATACATATTAATACATCAATATCGCTTAATAACCCACCTTGAGATATGAGATATATTGAGGATTGACGATATTGAAGATTGTAAAACGCCAGTCCCATCCTTCAAGCTGGACCGCGTCACTGCTTGACCCAGAAATTAAACAGAGCGATGATACTTATCCGTATGCGCTCACAAAACTTATATTATTATCGAGTTAAGGAATAAAAATTCGTTGGCTTGTACCAATACCATCACTGAAAACAACAACACATAATTACTGGTAGTAGGACGTCTTGTGAGTCCGCGCGGCTAGGTACCACCACCCTGCCTATTTCTGCCGTGAAGCAGTAATGCATTTCGGTTTGAAGGGTTTTTTTTTTTTTTTGTTCAGGAGGAAATTGCCGGACTTCCGCCCTTTTCTGGGGATACTGGGCGGGGTATGTCAGAGTCGAACTGATTAAAACCTCCTGTCGCTCAACAACCAACGTCCAAACCTCGCATGAGACAGAACTCATGACAAGGCAAAGGGGGGAAAGTGAAGCGTTTAGTGCGGAGCACATCTCTCCCATCACCCTCCCCCTCGGGACGCCGGACTGGCGGTCGTCGGCGCCACGACCACCAGCCCTCTCGGTCGGCAGACTGTCCGAAGCCCGCCTAGATGGCGCCGGTTAGAGTGGGTTACCCTACGGAATACCCCGCTGGGCCAGAACCAGCGTGGGTCGAGGATAGCCGGCCTTCCATCACCCGGATGCTCTTGCGTAAAACGCGTGCAGAGCAGCTTGCACGTCGTCTTCTTAGGCCCCCCTCGCCGGTCCCCAGACCGACATGTGAGGGGGACCCGAAACACTTAGAGGGCCAGGGCTTGGGCGAGATCCGCCTCCCTGGCCCCCGCTCGACGGCGGCGGGATTGTGCGTCTCTCACGCGCCCCGCCGCCTCCTTCTGCGAGATGGTGCACTCGCAGAAGTCGAGCATCGCCTTCCACGACTCGTCGTCGCCGAGCATCGATGCCACAACACTCGGCAACGACAAGTCGTTTCCTATTTTTGCGACGAGGACACGGCGCCACCCCTCCCATGCGGGGCAGGCGACGAGCGTATGCTCTGCCGTATCCAAGTCGCAACCACAATGGTGGCACTCTGCCGTCGGCTCGGCTTGATCCGGTGCAGGAACTCACCGAAGCAACCATGCCCAGTGA